GYWAGAGCTTYTRGATATTTCTTTACGCCTAAATTTTCTACTTCAACGTGTTMAACAACAAGTTATGAGGCACTAAGTTTAAGATTCTGTTTAACTCGACTCATGATAASCCTCTGTTCTTTTGCATTTAACGCCTTTTAGCCGCGTGGTTGTTTTAATTGTTGWTAGGCATGGGTAWCACTGTCTTTTATATAGGATCGGATTAAAGGYTTACGAGGCCCGTGWCTGGAATTTTAACAGSTTRAAATAAGGTSAYYATATTWTKYRRTYRAATATTCAWKWAAAWKTGAAWWAWKCASAAATTCCASATKAWTARRSMAAAGTATTCTAGCTTGGTTATAGTGTGAATTYKGCYMCGGTTGAGCTTTTGGTTAGTTCACAAGAAATTTTCAATCTTGAAACAWMAGACGAATTTTGAATACGAAATTAGTATTTTGTGTGATTTATAATGCAMTKGAATTWCATTTAMATTWATTATGACACAWTYCAGTGAYTAAGCCAAAGTGTTAAGGCATGATATTTGGGACWAGCACCTGAAACCATGAATAAGCCAGTTMGTACTGAAAAAAATGTAATACCAAAAWAGAAGATGATTATACTAATATTATTATAACTAGAAGATATAATAAAAAWATATAATTCAAATTTACRTTGGAGCTTAATTCTTGAWATCAGACATTTAAAGGACATTTTTAATTAGTTGAAATTTAGTTGGTTTCTATTATCACTCGGTAGTTGAGCAACGGTTTTATTTTTAAGTGATTTTTTAAGTTTTTACGTGAGTTTAYTCTATAATTTTAGAAAAACAAAATTAATTCGKTAATTAGTTTTAGTTTTGGCGTTGTGCATTAATCACTGGAGATGACTGACATTCATAGAAAAATAAATGGCTCCAAATTTAAAATTAATTTGATTTATTAAGTTKAGCTGTTGTTGACTTTCGTTAAGTTGGAACGTGAAATTTGTCCTTCTTGACTGTCCTTGAGATCATAGARAGGGCGAACAAAAMAGATTAAATCATCATGGTTATTGTGTAYTTCGGTGCCTTGTTTTCCGAAAAAGTCTATTCAGTTTGTTACCGACAGTGTCGTGCGAATTGCGTTCTTAGATGGGAAATATAGAATTATTGAGGCCCTTATGGCAAGTGCGGTAGTTTGTGAAAGTGTAGTRAACTTTTTGGGGGTGAATAGGARGAAAATGGAGGATGGGGTACCAGCTTGCAGAAAGCTGGTAAGAACGATCTCTAATCTATAAATCTTTTAGCTTCAACTGAGTGTWGTTTTYCGACAAGCAATTGAAGTTTTAAAKATTATTTATATTTCCCTCTCTYTGCTTYGCTGAATTTAAAAWTTTTTTGCTTTKGACAGATTTCCCGCTGTACTAAACACATTTTCTTCCTTCTCTCCAGGTGGCACTATGCAGCTTTCGGTAAGCTTAGCTTAGCCCCTGGTTACCATGTGAATGTAGAACTTTTAGTCCCGTGTTCATCAACTGACTCGTAGGGTGGCTTTGGTATTATCGATTGGTTCTTTTGTAGTTCATTTTTAAACTCTGGGAATATTTTGGGCGGGTTTTTATTTTTACAACACGCTCATTTTGAAGCTTTCTCTAAAGAACCGCTTCAGATATGGAAATTTGGGTTCCAGTTTTATGTTTTTTTGTCAAAAAAGTCAAGAGTCTAGTTTTGGTTGGTTTTTTTTTAATTGCAAAATCAAAGAAACGTTTAACCCCGTTTTTATACCATTGTACGGAGAACTGCAAACTCGATTCACAACGTGCGCGAGTAAATTCTGGTAGATTTGACCCAAAAAGTCACCCCACGAAATTTAAATATCAGGCATTTAGGTGCAAGTTTACTCCAAAATTTCATTTAAAAAAGTCTCTCTCTCTACAGTCTTGTCTTCTACACATGCAATATAAGTAAAAAATGTTGATGAAAAAGTTTAAAGGGTTATCACTTCTAAATTCGTGTGTATTTAGGAAACCCGATCTTCGGGTATTAATGCAGAAGTTTTATGGTCATTTCCGTAAAAGATCCATATGATTCTTACCTTATACAATAATAAAATGACTAGCAGCAGGATCAAAGTGCCCGCTATGGCCGAGAGCAGGATGATCCACAGAGGCACCACTTTTGGTGTAAGCTCCTGCTCCCCTGCAGGAATATCGGTAAATATTTCATGACTGTGAAGGACCTGTTCTTTCGGTTTGCCGATGTAAGGGAGCTTGGTTATTCTGGCTACCATCATCGAGGACAATTTGACTGATTGGGTGCTACTTAGCTAAAAAGAACACCAAACCAGCTTTAGTAAGCTCTTAAAAGATCTGACGCCAACTTTTCATATAACTGAACAAGAAATAGGGTGGGTTTCATTGTACTAACCTGCCTTACAGCCCGAACGTTCAGTCGCGATCTCAAAGCAATCGAAATAAATTCGTCCTTCTTCAGTGTGCCAACCACACACCTCATGTAGAAGCACTTGGTGGCGCTACACCGCAGAATGTCGTCAATATCAGGATCAATATCTGGAACCTACAAAAACCGTTTTTTCTTAGGAATTGTCGGGCTAGTTAATGTCGTTCCAACCTGTCGTTTTCCTCGATGCGTCCCGGTGTCCATGTCCCTTGGCTGGGCGCCCTCCCAGTTGCGCCTCTCCCATTCAGACTCGTACTCGTTGTGGTCTGATACGCCTCCTTCCAAACTGCCGGAGAATGTCCCTCCTCGGGTCCGCTGGCCGCTGCTCGTCCACTCCACATTCTGTCTTGAAGCATCTGTAGAATTCCCATGCTTTCACTCTGGCAAATTAGGACTTTTTTACGTACCTGCAGGTGCTCCGCCACGTCCCACCATCCCCAAATCAATAGTCTGTGTGCGGAAGTTATTACCGGAAGCGGCATTCTGTCCGAAATTTATTTGGCCTCCTGCAGCTGGGTCAATGTCATCTAGAGAAGCCGTGCCCTCAACAGTCCAAGTGTGATTTACCAATACGCGAGGAGGGCTTCCGGATCTTGCAGCTCCCGATTGCTCGTTGCGCTCATCGAAGTATCCAGATTGCGATCGACCCTCACTGGAGCCCTACAAAAATGACGAAAAACTTATAGAGGACATATTTAAAGGTTTCTGAAGATGAAGTTTCACAACATTCTAGGTCGGCTTGGACATGGCAGGTTCAAAGTTTTAAGCAAAATTTTTCCCCGTTTTAAAGCAAATAGTTTCAAGCAATCGTATGCGCAAAATCCATGTTGATGGCTTTTTTTGTTATATATTAAACTTTTCCCATCGGCAATGAGTTTACTCTAGGAACTCATCAACCAATCAGGTAAAACTCATTAACTCAGAGAGCGGCTCTCATCTTAAAATTCCAGTCAGTCCCGGGTCTCGTAAAGCTTTAATCCACTTTAAATGAGTAGAATCCATCGGTTAATGACTTGCAACTCATCACCTCAAAAGCGCAACTTGCACGTAACGATGTCACCCAGGCCTAGTTTACAGACTACTAATTTTCTGCGAAGTGAAAAAATTATGGGCAATTCTGATTTTCTGGCCGAAAAATGTCAAGGAGTGCATCATTAAACGCATCACAAATAACATCGTTCTGAAATAAAAGTGGTCATTATTCTTTTTATTAAATAATCAACTCACTTGCTGCCACTGTCGCCTGCGTTCCGCTTCCAGGCGTCGAGTTTCTTGGTCTTCTTGTTGTCTACGTCTCTCTTCCTCCTCCCTCTGCCTGATTTGTTGTTGGCGTCTTTCTTCATGCTCCTTACGCCATGCTTCTTCCCTTTGTTGCTGAAGCCTAAACCACATCAAATATAAATATAGTCTTGGAGTGCGAGTTTTCAACCAACCTCCGACTGTCTTGCTCTACTGGTGTATATTGCCGGGAGCGCTGGGCTTCCAGCTGCTGCCTTCTTCGTTCTTCCTCCATCCGTTGCGCTTCCTGCCTCCTCACTTGCTCGTTGTAAGCTAGCTGGCGCGCCCTTTCTTCCTGTTCCCTTGCTTTATTAGCGCGCTCCAGTTGCTCCTGTTGGCGTCGTCTTTCTTCTTCTTCCTGCTTCCGACGCCGCTGGTATTGTTCGCGCTCCTCATCTGCACTCACCACCACGTTCTTGCCTAGAAAGCGATTTGCATGGATTGTTTCCAGTTCATGTATTTGTGGCAGAATCACCCCTACCTGCCTGTTGTTGCTCTTCGAGTTTTCTGCGCCGTTCCTCCTGCAAACGGATCCGTTCCGCGTACTGTCGTTTTTGCTCATATTGCAAGCGAGCCTCATTGGCTCGCTCTCGGTCTAGAGATGCAGACACAGTGGAAGCAGTTTCCTGCGCTCCCTGCCTGTTTGTTTTCATATATCAGTTAGCAGTTTATTATCAAGTAGGTGCCTATTATACCTAATGCGATGCCCTTCGATGTACGAGGGCGTTGTGGCGCCTCCTTCGCGTGCTCCACCTCCCACCGTGTAACTTTCTTCTTCTATTAACCTGTCCTCGTTAGTAGATCCGCTGGACCCTCCACTAGACTGCTGACCTAAGAGCAAACAGGATTTTAGAAACATGCACCCTCTTCGCCCCTAATAAAAATTAGGTGCTTTAGTAAGTAAACGTACTGCTGGTTTTTCGTTGCACAGTTTCCTCTTGGGTTCCCTCAGCTTTAACAGATCCTGCAGTTATCGACAGATTTTCCATGCCACTACTCGAGTTTCCTGCCCCAGAAGAGCTGTAAACTATCGATGGTTTTTTGTGCTTGGATTTGAGGCCACTTCCGTCTGGAATAGGTGCTTAATTTATTTTCCTGCAGGAATTTGAGGAAGTTGCACCAACCTCGGTTTTGCCCAAAGCTGTCCTCACGCCCAGAATTGTCCGTGGAGTAAAACGTCTTGATAATCTTGCCACTGGCGTCCTTAACAGTGGTAACGTTGGTCCAGACCGTTTGTGGCTTCCCGTCCACCACTAGCGTGTGCCATTCGGATTTTCGGTATACTGTTTGTCCTGCTCTGTTTATTGTGCCATCAGAGTCCAGACCTGCGTCCTGACCCCAGATCTCTACTCCCTGCTGCTCCTCTGCATTCGGTTGATTCTGCCGCTCCTCGAACGTTTTTGAGCTATCACCACCGGAATTCTTAATCTGCTCGTTCAGTCTGCTCGTCTCAATTGTGCTCTCGGAAACGCTAGTCACAGCTAAAATCCATCACGGTGCTCTGAGCAGGTTCCACATTCATTGTGAAAATCCTACCTGTAATATTGCGGCCAGTTTCCACTTTAACTCCATCATAATGTGACGCCATGTCACGGCTGGAAGAGTCAATCTGCAGCCGCTCCCAGACGGATTTTGGATTGTAGTCTAACTGAAAAGCAAACAGGCACAATTGAGCATTAAGCGCTTTACGTGTACGATCGATCTTGCAAGGAAAGAAGAGGTGAAAGGTCGAGGTTTAGGAGAAAACAAAGAGGAGCCTGGGACCAATGATTCATATTTTTCTACTCAACTTCCCATGCGACTCTTTATGGAACCTACCTGGTAATTTTTGTAATTAGCTGGAGCGGGAATGTCGCATGTGACCCCTTCGGGGACGTGGGGCTGTTCCAGTAAATACAGCAGATCATCACCTTAAACCACATAAAGGGTCATCATTTAATATATAGATTAAATATTTCATCCTTGTAAATTGATCTCAAAAACCGGAATTTACCTGCCAAAGTTTGCCACGGCCATAGGAAGTACATTTCGGCTTCGTTGATAGTGGCAGGACCTTTATTCGTCAACGTGTACAGGTGGGTAACTTGTGGCCCGATTTCAGACTCTCTTTCAATGGTTTCCGACGAATATTGGGTGGTATTTGATAGGTAGATTTCTTGCGGAATAGACACTCTATTAAACAAATTTAATTACAATCAGTCATGTGTGAAATGTAGGTGCAAGGGTGCAATCAATGCAAGCATATTTATGGGCCCTAAGAAGCACTCGGAGGCCTCGAAAAAAGTCCAAAAGCCCAAAATGTGCCGAGCCCTTCGTGCACGAGACTGATTTTTGACAAAAACTGATCAATACGTACATTTTGAGTGTGTTTTGCGTCCAAATCAGTGTCTTACCCAGAGGCCGCGGCACAAAATTGTCATCCAACATTATTCAAGGTGTCTGTTGTGCCGAGCCCTTCGACCACGAAACTGATTTTTGACAAAAACTGATCAATCCGCACATTTTGAGTGTGTTTTGCGTCCAAATCAGTGTCTTACCCAGAGGCCGCGGCACAAAATTGTCATCCAACATTATTCAACGTGTCTGATGTGCTGAACCCTTCGACCACGAGAGTGATTTTTGACAAAAACTGATCAATCCGCACATTTTCAGGAGTCTGTTTTGCGTCTAAATCAGTGTCTTACCCGGAGGGCTCGACACAAATTTTGTCATCCAACATTCTTCAAGGGGTCTGCTGTGCCGAGCCCTTTGAGCACGCGACTGATTTTTGACAAAAACTGATCAATCCGCACATTTTGAGTCTGGTTTGCGTCCTAGCGAGTGTCTTATCCGAAGAGCTCGGCGCAAAATTGTCATCCAACAATATTCAAGGTATTTGTTGTGCCGATCCTTTCGGGCTGCTTTTGGACAAAGCTGATTAATCGGCACATTTTGTGTGTGTTTTTGTGTCCCAGAATCGTCATCCAACATTGTTCAATGTATCTGTTGTGCCGAGCTTTTTAGGAAAAACATTGACTTTTATCAAAACTGATCAGTATGGACATTTTGAGTATGGTTTTGCATCCAAACCAATGTTTTACCCGAAGGACTCGACACAACAGCGAGTTGCAACACAGTTTGATGTATTAGTTGTGCGGAAATTAACTGAAAATTTATTATTTTAAAACGGACATTCAGTTTTTGATTGAACATTTAGAATTTGCCAAAATTTCTGTGCAACCTTCAAGGCTATTCAAAAGAACTATAACTTAAAAAAAGTGTTTATTTGATTTCTAACCCGCCGGTTCGATATAGGTCTTCCATTTCTTCAAAACATTTTTTATTCGTTTCTATTTATGCAGGGTAAAACAAAATTGGAAAAAATCCCTAAAAATATTTTAAAGTGCTGTTGAACTGTTATTTTCTTTGATATTTTCCTTATGCTTACCCACTAACATCCAATGCAGAATCAACCCAAATATCAATGGTAATGCGACTGTAATTGTCCTGTAACGTGTCATTGGATTCTGGGTTGGTGCTGTTCACATGCACATCAAATTCATAAGTGGGAGGAATACCCTGCGTATGGTAGGGCACAAAAATCATCCTGAAAGAAGCCTAAAAACGGCGAGAATCAATAAAAAAAATATTTAAAAAAAAACGCCGCTCACAATCTTTCGAGCTGGTAAAGGATTGCCGATTTCACAAGTGAGCGTTCGCTTTAATCCAGGGCTGCACAATATTCCAAGCACATCGTCTTTCACTTCAGTTTTCTTGTAGTGCACTCCTTCCGGATAGCTTAGCTCGAGAGTGGTTTCAAAAGAATCCTCTCCCAAATTGGAAACAATAATATCGAACTCCAAGTTAGTTTTGGAGTCTAACAGGTACTTTTCCACGTTCCTGCAAAAGAAGTATATTATTTAGAAAAATCTCCTTGAGGTTCTGATGCGATGTTGTTCTCACTTGGTGATGTTGATGTGCAGGTTGGGAATGCAAATATTGTCATGGCCGCAATTCTTCTGGATGATGATCGAATCCTTTCTGGAGGGCGGCAAGTTCAAGTCCAAGACGGGTTTTAACTGAGATTGCGGATTTCGCATGCGTCTATAGTCAAACGCGTCCTCTTCTTGGATCATGAAATACTTGACTTCCGCTTCGAGGGGTGTTAATTTATCGCGAATGTCGTTCTAAAAAAGCATACGAGAATATTACCTTAAACGAAGTAGAATTTTCAAGGTGTTGGGCAAAATATCTAGTAAATTATTGGATTACTATACCGAAATAACAGTCCACAAAAGTTTCTGTGTTGTTCTTCAAAACAGTTTCAGTACTATTTGCAACCAAAGTGTCTCTGTGTGTATGTGTTCGATTCGCGACTTAGACGTTTAGTGATGAAAAATTTAATTTTGAGAGTTTTTGCTGATCTGATGACTAGCTCTATTGGAGCAAATTATGTTTCAATGCGTTCTAAGACTCGTTCTCTTGGATGAACGATTTCTTTCACATGGCTTTCGGGATAGAAAATCAAGTGGATTTATATCTGGCAATCGAAGCGCCCAAACAATTAATCCACCCCTGACCCAATTCAATTATGACCCTATGTTTCATTCAGCTTTGTTCTGATATCAGTTGATCGATCAGGATGGAAATACGTCCTTCACTCAGAACTGGATGCTGTTAAGCTAGACAATAGAATAATGGTTTTATCTATAATTATAATGCAAGTATTGCCTTAAAACCGACATTTCAGTTTTGCAATAAATATTTACTTAAAAAAGCATTACTTCTGATTAGTAAAATGGACAAAGAATTTGGAAGTTATTCAAAGAAATGTTTTGTTTGCACAAAAATGGTTAACTAGCAGTTTGAATTGAGTCAGTTTCTTATTCTATTTACAAGCATTCTTGTACTTGCGGGTGTGTTCTATATATTCAGCTTGAGCGGCTCGGACATTTTTCACACATCATTTTACGGGGCTTTAGACTGCCAATCTCTTAGACTTCAAACCGAATTTGAAGAAAATAAGTTAGAAGTAGAAAGTAGGTAAGCTAGAAGATTCTGAACCACTTTATGAAGACTTGGCTGTTGAAGACGAGCGAACTGGCCAGATCATTCGACTGGTTTAACCCTCCTTGACTTGTTTTAGCGAGAATACCTTCCACTTATGCCCTCTAGTTTTTTGCGTTTTGCACGTAAGATTTTTTTTATTTTGGAAAATAGTTTCCGCCAATTATAATCAAACACCCCCTAGATACCTTAATGTAAATTTCCTCAGTTTGGCACGTGTCTTGACTATCTTTGTACAATGTGATGGTATCATTCAGCGTGTGCGAACCTCTTCGCAAAAACATCATCCTCGGTATATTCGACTTTTTGCTATCAAGAATGTACTGAACATGCAACTCTGCAATACCAAAAACAGTTAGATTGTTTCATGAACAATTACCATCCACCTACGGATCTGTTGTGGTATTCCTTTGCCTCCATATTTGATGCAGAAGTCAATGGTAGTGCAAGTAGCTCTTTCGCCAGTGGGCAGGTTGCAGTTTTTGTTCTTGATGTCGATCTGCTTGTTTTCGGTGCGGAAGCGCACAAATGCCTCCAGCCGAACCACTGGTCTTGATCTGCAAGGAAATCGCTAAGCATGTGAGGGCATTGCGATTATTGGACTTTACCTGAAGAAAAAGGCCGAATTGGACAAGTAGGCTCCAACAGCCATATCGGGGTAGTCGTTCCCATCCATATCCAAACCTCCAGTGACGGAAAATCCGAAAGTATTCACCGGAATTCCGCTTCTAGTGTTGAGATCTTCCGCGTAGATCACTTGACCGAATTTTTCCAAAACACCCTTCGAGGAGCCGTAGTAGATATAGACAGCCCCTCGGTTGAATTCTCCGTCGTAGGGCGCCCCAACAGCAAAGTCTGGAATATTGGGGAAAAGGTGGAAAAAAAATTTTCACTTTTATTCTTCTGATAACTTACCATGGAAACCATCTTGATTCATGTCCCCCAGATAAGCCACGCTGTGTCCAAAGCGCGACCTTGAATTCATCCCTTCTATAAAGGAGGACTTGTTGAAGCTTCCCTGAAATTCCATCTGGGTCATTATTTTAAAACCAAAATGAAATGTAGTCTTACAAATCCGCCCCCTTGGTAGAAAACGTACACTCGGCCCACATCATACTTGTCTTCAGTGTTGGGCTCGGTATGCATCGGAGCCCCAATAATCAGGTCCAACTTTCCATCCCCATCCAAATCCCCAGCCGCTAAAGAATATCCGAAGTAGGACCCCAACTGGCTACTGGAAATGTTCTTGTAATTGGTCAGGTTCCAAGTGTATAGAAGAACCTATAAAACCACTGTTCATTATATGGAAGTCTTGGTTTGGGCTAGATTGAAAAAGACCTTTCCATGAAGCTCCGCGCCTCTGGGCATTCCAACCGCAATGCCCTGTTCGCCCGTTCCCAGAAAGTCCCCAGTAATAGTAGAATATCCCAGATAAGAGTCATCGTCCAGCTGTTCACTTTCCCTAGTTTGGAACACTGCAGGCCGAGTTTCCAGGCTCTGCTGGTGGACGGAACCTGCAAAGGGCCTTTGATGAATTCGTTGAATCGGCAAGTTGTCTACTGAATGTCTACAGCAGGCATTTTTTCGAAAAAACCCAATTATCCGAGCTGATTAAGAAGGTTTCCTGAAAAGTTGCCTGCTTTTGACAATGGCAATGAAACACCCAAAGCTGAAAGCACTGTATGAACTGGTAAATGCTGTAAAGTTGCGTTATTTGATGATAATGATCTCTGAAAGCTGTAAAATGTTGGAGAAAATTGATTTTTCTGAAAATCTCTAGAGGAAATTGGATTGCAAATATCTCCCGTGTTCTCTGCATGAATCGTCCGAATTCTTGAAGCTGATTGACTATTATTTAAATGGCCAACATTCCAGATCGATTGTAACTGTATCAAAGGCCTATAGTTGGACATGTGAAACACACAAATATGTAACAGCAGGAAAATGTGGCGACATGAAGTATTTTAACAAGGAAACGGTACGGGTGCGCCTATTTTTAAACATTTGTTATGGTAAAAGTGAGCGAGAAATCGGTTTCTGAAAAATGAATCGGTTTATTATTATTATTTCTAATATTATTCGGCACAGATTCCCGGATTGATGTGGTACGACCTGGAATTTTCGGGATTGCAATTAGGCACGGGTTTATAAATATGCGCGATTGGGGTTTTTCTGTTCGGCGTTTTAATCTGTTTACTTTGGGCATTTGTAGTGGAATTCGTCGGAAATATTTCAGGACTCTTTTGGAAATTTGATCCAGATGGGAAGGATTGTCTGGTCGAGCTTAGAAGATTGAAATTGAGTCGAGATCGGTAAAATAATTGTTTGGTTTATTATCAAGCTTTTTTACTGCAATATATTCAGCAGCAGGCAAGAGTTTAATGTTTTATTAAACAACTCTACTTCTTTGCAACCTTTAACAAAGTCTATAACTTTCAAATACACATTATATACTATATATACTGTAAAATTTCGTTTTGAAATATTTGCATTAAATCAAAGTTTTTCTGGCAACACGATCCCCATATAAGCAGTATGTTTTTTACTGCTATAGTTTTGTCATATTTACACACAGTATCTCCGAATCTTCTGGGCCTGGGGCTGAAGGGAATGAGCATATTTTTTCTACAGAATAGAAATTTAAGCAAATTAAACAAAAGTTGAGCTGAATTTCCAAAAATCAACATTGTTTGGCATCTCATTCTGCTTAAATACGTAAAACTGAAAAAATAGCCGCATTATAATGAACGCTTATATCGGAGGAGAAAAATGTGCAAGAAAATGAGATGGTTTAACTTTAAGGAATTCACATTTAAAATGATAAAATCTTGAAAATTGAACGTACATTAAACGCATTTGTGCTATTTTCAATTTCCCCACTTTGCTGTGGAAATTCTGGTGCAGTTTCTGATTGCAGTAGAACTGAATCGTTCTCTTTTTATGACGTTAAAATTCCTTAGCGTTTGTGTAGGAATCTTGCCAAAGAATCTCTATTGAGTCTGCTTTTCCTTATCCTTGGACTTGTTTTCAAAAGTGCAAAGTTTCAAAGTTTTAGCGTGTTTTWAAAGAAAATCAAACATTAAATTGCYCCAKCGCTAGAAAAGAAATATCGGATTTTGAATACCTTATTCTGAATCCCTAAAYCAGACAAATAAGGAAACTTTTGRTGCTGATKATGCTCAGTGTGATGATGGGGTGATGAAGTTGAGCACTTCAAGTCAAGCAGAACAAGGAAGCGTAGAACCGTTTAGAAAATGTGGAAAGATCAAAATCGCCCACAAAGCAGCATTGGATCTTTGGATGGATGGAAAATTAACGAAAAAACAATAAAAAAAATTTCTTCTAAACAGCGTCAACTGAAATTATCAGCTTTGAAAGCTGTCCATYTTMAACTCTCGGCCTAGAACTTCAGGGTTCATAATCTGGATAGTAAAAAGCTTACTTGTACACGTATGGAGAAGAATGGAAGAAGAAATCCTCAAATTTTTATTCCGGAGAACCGGAGAAAAGCGACATTGCTTTCTTCCAGTCCGAATCCCAGATGAACAGTTACAACAGAAAACCTCGATGTTTGGGCACAAAATTTAAATATGAAACCCCCAATGCTCCCAAATATGAATATTAATCTCTTACAATTAGCTGAACCCGTCACAGAAACTGGTTTTATACATCAGGGTTTACCAAAAATAACTCCAAAGGATTTCAGTTTAACTGTGAAACTTAAAAGCAAACATCAAACTTTCTTCCCTCCACAGGCAAAGAAACTGATGTTGCAGTGATCACTTGGATGTCCGAAAGAAAATTTCGCTGTGAAAATCTAACAAATTATTCACAATTGCTGTTAGACATTGGTCATTGGATTTGGTCTTAAATGGCCGAGGATTCTTTGATTAATTTTTTATTATTGTTTATTGGAGCCTCGACTAAAAGCAGACACTTTAAATTGAATTATTGGAGGAGGAAAAGTTCAATGTCAATAAAAATTGCGGTCTAAGTAGCGCTTGTCTCGCAAATAGGAACGTTCTTTTAAATGAAGGATCAGACTGTGAAAAAAGATAATTACTCACCGAAAATTTCACAAATATGTACACAAGTGCTGTTCATGCCGGAACAAGATTAGATATGCATTTTCATAAGTTGTCTATTATCAATCGTACGGTGGTATTTACACTAAGACTCATGCAGTCATAATTTACAATAAGTTATAAAGGAGACAGTTTTGCAAAATTAATAGAAAAAATGTTGAAAGAAACGTAAATCGAAGGCCAAGACTCATCTTATACACAAGAGCACAAAGTCGTGTTCTTAAACAGCTTAATACCTAAAAGATTATTTATTTTAAATTGTATTTATTTTTCTTGTTTTACTCTCCGTTATGTCTACCTGTCTTTCGATCATTTTCATAGCAAATAATATGAATATACATTCTTAGGAACTGGAAAATGCAATATAATATAGAGTGTCCCATTGAAAAAAACTATTGAGTGTTAAAAATAACATAAAACATTCTTGCATCTCTTAAATTAATTTACTTTAATATCCAATCCGACCGTTTTGATTTAAATTGTCTTAAAACAATAAGTAAGCATCTTCTATACAGTCCATTCTCCTAGATTCTCTTCAAGAAGTTCATATCTTGGGTGTTTTAATTGATGCCATCGGCCGTTAGCTTCGCTTCATTTTTGATGCTTCCAAACAACGTATCGATTCCATATCTATGATCTCCATTATAATAATAGAAAATTCTATCTTCACCTTGCACCATCTAAAAGTCGTAAATCTGTTGCCGATGGTTTATCTCGAATCGATCGAGGATTTCTGTGTCGTGCTGCTCTTGTTTTCATTCAATGGAGAACTACGGCCGAACGTCACGGTTTATGGTGTGAACACCATTAATGTAGCCGATATGCCCCAGAGGTTACCCCACAGAGGTCAATATGGAACTAGATGGTATGGAAAAATGCATATTTGAACATTTTTCTGCCAATGACCATGTCGGGTTTTATTTCTTAAGATCTTCTCAAAATCTGAGTTACAAATTAAGCGCCATCCTTAGCGCAAGCTCCAGGAGAAATGGACAATTTTCCTACAGAAGTAATCGGAATAAAGAAAAAACGTCCACGTGGTCGTAGGTTTCTATAAGTTGCGACCTTATTTTTAGAAACCATCTATTAATAATAACACGTCCATATGTGAAGGCGGCAAAGTTCTAGCTGGTGGACTTCTTGTAAATATAATTAGGTACTACTTGAGGTCTAGCAATAGTGGATATTGTAGCTGTTAAAAGTACCACACTAAGTACCAACTAACAGCTAGCAATTACGCTGTAGTCAATTGGGCCCTCAACTTCCAAATAATCCACGATTATGTGTTTTTCACGACTGGGTTGTGTGATGGAAGATGATTTTTTACAGCATGAATTCTAAGCACACATAACACGATTCTATTCTATTCAAGCTGCACAAACCTCCACAGTCCACAATGAACGTTACTGAACAGGAAATAGTTGAAATTAATTACACAGTGATAACACTTGCAGTGAATTCGAGTATTTAGACAGGTGAAATAATTGTAATTTTAGGTGCAATTAGCTGAAATATGTTATAGACGTTGATGCGTAGTTTCGACTTTTTCTCGTAGTTTTTCAGATTCATATACAGGGTGTCAAAAGAAAATGGCCAATCTATTTTTACAGCACCTTTCCACATGTAAATAACTTTTTAAAAACTTGGTATAACTTTAAGGCCCTTTAAAACTCATTTTTTTGTGTAAAATTTCTGCCCGAAAGTGACCAGATTGTACACATTAACGCTCATATTGTTATGTACGATAAAAAAGCAAGACAACCCTGAAAGTTGAGTTATAAAATCTATGTTGAACTCACGCGATGCTTTTAATTAAACGGTTGAATCATTAATTATTCATTTCGAAATCGTTTACTTTAACTAAAAATTGATTTAAATAATGAAAGTTTTCTGGGAAATGGTCCATTTTATCGATGTGAAACACGACTAGCTTTTTCGAGCTTGAGCTTCGCCTTGCGTCTTTACCATACAGGATGTTAAAAATATAAGCATGAATGCTCGGTTCCTGACAAATTTAAACATTAAAAAAATTAAATTTTAGGCTCATTCAAGGGCTCTAACTAATATCTGTTATACAAAAAAACATCAAATTCGAGAAAGTAGTTTAAAGGTTACTTTAGCAAAACACCTTTGAGGGGTCTATATTTTGATCTAAGGGATTATTTTTATAGGAACTTTTTTTATAGGTTTTTATAGGTCATCATATGTTGACACTTTATATAAGAGCATGTCCTCATTTTTCGAGACGCTCTGTATAATGTTTCTAACTGAAAAAAAAAACACTTCATTTATTAACACCGATTTATTAACAAGTTCTAGGTTTCCAAACTGAAAGAAGAAAAAGAGAAGAAGCTAAAACCCTACCAGAATTGAAAGTAAAGTGAAATTCTGCCTCCAAACAAATCAACAAAGCTACCATTAAGTCGACGATGGATAGGATTACAGAACAAATGAAACATTTCCGTCAAAACAAATGATTCCAGCTTAATTTTTTTTAACTACTTCTAATTAAATCATATTTAAAACGCTTTTTGTTTCATTACAATTTTTGGGTTCGTAAGTTATTACGGTTTTGGTGTGTAGCGATTTTTCCTGACTCAGTCTATACTTTTACTCATATTCTCTCATAATAAAAAGCAATTTTCTGATAATCCCACGTAGCTATAAGTAGTTTCAGAAATAGTTCCTAAAATAGCATGAAAAACTGTAGTGGTTGACACTAAATTTTAGATCGAATACGATTGAAAGGCCATTGTTATAGCGATTTTAACAGTGTTTCAGATGTTTTCGCTGAAATCTTGCACTCCGACCTCCAGTGTAAGTTTTTAAGCAAAAACACTTCTGAGGACGCAAGCCATTCGTGTTTCCGAAACGTCAGAAAATATTTTCCAACAACGGCCAAAAAAATACAAAAAACTCAGCAGTTTTAAGCAATGGAATGGTCTCGAAAGCACGCTGGTTTATTGAAAAGTTTGGGTTACTTTGCATATATATTCAGAGTGATTTAAAATTGAGATCTTGATTCTTGGCGGTGAAAACTCATTTGGATAGTAAGCAAGCAATTAAGAGACGGAATCTATTTACGTTTTAGTTTTAATTTGTCTATTAATTAATTAAATTAATCATAAGTTACAGAGGAAATAAATGCGAAACTCCAGCCTGAAAATATCATTAAGAAAACCGGACGCAAATTTGAAAAATTGTTGAAAATTGTAATTGAAAAAAACTATAGACTGAAACTTTCGCAATACTCCAAATTAGCGACTCCTTCACTTCGTTAGGGTCTGATTCAATTAATGCAAACTCCACGCAAAACATACTCGTAAAACAAATACAATTTTGTCTAAAGTGGATAACAATGACTGAAAATGGAAACTCTTCTTACAAATAAAAGAGATTCTGTACCACAAAATGAATTCAAACATTGTTTGAACATTTTCTGATTTTATCTACAAATTCAAAATTTTGCCACTTACAAAACACATGCAATTAATTCAGGTGATTAATTCAGTCAATCAATCTTAATTTTGCGCTTTTAAAATGTTAGTTTCAACTTCAAAATTTAGCATTAAATGTTTTATTTAACAATCAGCGAATATCGGCCATACAAGAAGAATTACATCGATTATGAATCACTCTAAATATTAATAAGTAAGTCACCTTTTGATTCATATTTTCGCATTATTGAAGCCGAAGTAACTGCCTACAGTAAAAAAATTAAACCGTCGTGTGACCAGTTTTCCGCGAATCTTGCGAATTAATTCTGCAAACACGATGGACCGAAAAGAAGTCGTTTTAAAACAGGAGTTTCCATGTCCAAAAGTTTGCCGCGGTTTGCCAATTTTATCCGCATATAATTTATACAATATTTAAACTCTATAAATGCCTCTGATTGATTCCGTGTTGTCTAAAATCGAGCACAATACGAATAGATGCAATCACTTAATGATCGATTCCATACCGGTTATGGCATGGAAAATCTCATTTGCATCTAATTGGCTTTAGAACAAGCCATTTATGTATTTTTATTTTGTTGCGATCACTTAATCGGTATTAGTCGTCAGGAACTGATGCCACATGTATACGTTTATTTGCAGCGCAATTTATTTCGTTTCCTGGTTAATTCAAAAGGCATAGAAAGGCGATTTTTTACGATTCATGAAAGGAAATGAACTGCAGTGGTTTTGAGACTTTTTTTTGCTTTTTTATTTAAATTTCTTGTTCGTTTTATTCGCACATAATTTCCATTTAATTTGGTTTGACTGGCCTGTAAGCCTTTGACTATTTGAAAACAGTTTCTTCCTTGAAAACCTTCTTTGGTTTCACTAAAACGACAATGTTTAGATACCCATTAAAGAATTTCCAAATTTTTTAATTAGCTTCCTATTGTACGATTGTGGTGAGTTTTAATTGACTATAGATAAGTTCTATATTGTTGAGGCGGATTCATTTTTTTAAAT